AACAATAATGACAAGATAAGTTGTGCCCCATGTCCTCATCATCGGATTCCCCGTCATTACTTGCTTCACAATCACTTTGCTCAATGATTTGAGGACTTTGATCTTGAAGTCTTTAGAGCAATAGACTTCATCTCTACTTCCTTGTCTTTTCATTTCTCCTTCTTCGCCTTCTTTTTATACTCTTTTTCATGTTTTTCTAAGCAAGATAGTTCTTGCTCATGTTCTTCCAATTTCCAAACAAGGTAGTGAGATCAAGTGCTCTGAGATCTTTTGCCTCTTTAATAGCGGTGACCTTGGGTTGCCATTCTCTATTTAAAAATATCAACACCTTATTAGTAGCAATATCATTGGAAATAGGCTTACCTAGCATGTTTAATCGATTGATCCTAGATATCTTTGGAGGTCTCATAATGAGAGACATGATAATATTCATTAACACCAAGTGCGGATGTTAGAAGTTTTGTGTCCTCCAATCATGTGACCACAATTTCCATCATTATCATTCCATTGTGCTTCCGGTTAGGTATGGTAACACCTTCAGCATTGGTCACTTTAATTTTATTTGGACCATTTTTTATGGTGTCCCATATATCCTTGTCAACAGAGTTGACATGAATACGCATACAAGCTTTCCAATAGCCATAATTTTTATCAGTGAAAATTGGTGCTCTATTGTACGTTCCCTTAGCTTCGGTGGCCATTCTTCTAATTAGCCAATCTTAAGCACGAAATTAACCAGAGATCTGATACCACTTGTTAGACGATATGATTTAATCTGGAGGGGGTGAATAGATCACAAGTTAAAAACTTTTGACAAAAACTGTTTTGAAAAGTTTTATAGCATAATGGAAACAACATGAATCGAATCTTCTAACCGAACCTCTATCGAAAAGCTAGGGTATGTGCAAAGGTACATAAATGAATGATAATGAATACAAATTGTTCAACAACTATTAATTACAGACAATTGAATGCAAAGATATACGTAGAGCTTATTCCCAATGATAAAAAAACACACACAAATACCATAATGCAATTTATTGAACACCTTGTGTGCAATTGATATCGTTTGGGAATTTGCTTTATTTTGTTGATCTTAAAAGCCAATCACAACCAAACGAATTATAATTATATAAATAAAACCTAATTTAAAATGTGATCAAAAGTAATTCCTAAACAAATTGATCAAACGAACAATGAATTCAATAATTTGTAAACACAAAATTAAAAGAGAGATAGAGTACACAAGGGTTTGTTTAGGTAGCTCCCTAATTGGCCTCGCTATGGATACATATGCCCTCAATTCGAATTCAAGTATAGATTTTATAATAAATCTTACTTTGTAAATATGCATACAAGATATGAAGAACTCTAACCTTACAAACCCTAGGTTTGTTGTTGATTATACTGCCTCCAAAACCCTTTATCAGTCTTGATCAAGTAACCAACCATGCCGCTTTAATTCACTTGTTGTTGCTACTTACTTGCAAGTCACCTCTTATCCCAAGGATTTCACCCTGATGAATTAATCCAAGCGAATGATCAAGTAACCAGCAATGTCGCTTCATTTCACCAGTTCTTGCTATTACCTTGCAAGAAACTCCTTGTCTCAAGGTTTTCACTCGGTCAAATTAATCTCAAGCGCACACTTGTTGAAACCCAAGATTTATAAACACGGTCCATTGTCTCACGCTTCTCCCTTGCAAGGAACCCCTTGTCCTAAGACTTTCACTCGATCAGATCCGAATTGTGTAATCTTGTCCAAAACCTTTAAATCCTCCACAATATTGAAGGAAAAAACCGACTCAATTTTCTTATTTGAAACCCTCAAAGAACTCAACCCAATATTCTTGGTACAACAACCTAATTGGACGTTATCAACCCTAATTTATATGGTCACCCAGTAAAAAAAATAATTATATGTAGTTTGATTATGTGTATGCAAAGAAGAAAGGTTGAAGACGATGAGTATGCTTTGAAATCCCAATTTCATGTAGGTTTCACTCTAGAACCTTACTAGAAATGATGCATGTATCATATATATGTATGTGTGTGTGTGTGTGTGTGCGTGTGTGTGTTTGTGTGTGTGTGTGTGCGTTTGTGTGTGTGTCTGTGTGTGCGTGTGTGTGCGTATGTGTGTGTGTGTGTGTGTGCAAGATTGAAGCAAAGGGCATGCAAAAGAAAATGAAAGGAGTGCAAAAATTCAAAATTTTAGGTCAATAGGTCGACCTATCAAAGCAATGTGCTAACCTATACAGGTCTTAGGTTGACCTATAAGAGGCGGCACATGGACAGCGGCTACAAGCTTCAATATTGAGGCATGTGTGTCAACCTATACAATCTATGTGTCTACCTACGCTGAAGAAAACCTTGTATTGGTCAACCTAAAGTTGTACGTGTTGACCTATAGAGTGTTTTTCACAGACAAACTCAATTTTTGATGCATAAAAATCTTTTTTTTTTCATGCATATATCCTTTCTAAATCATTTCTAAACATGTTGACATGCTTCCTAATGCTAAAATTCACAATGCACACCTAAAATCAGTTGATATCTTCCAATGTACAAAACGTAAAGTTTATACTAGTTTTGACATCATACAAAACATATCTAAACAGAAAATTGCACTCACGTGCCTATCACTATCTGCCAATTGTAACATGTCTTTAAATTATTGGATAACCATTTTCTTTCAAAAAAAACATAGTTCATAATTTTTGCAACCATTTATGCTAACTCATATTCTAGCTTTATAGTCATGCATCTAGCCTTAATTTGCATAAACCTGTTGATATAATCATCAATCAATTCATTATATTTTATTTGAATCTTGATTAGGTTTATGGCATTAATCTTATTTTCTCCCCTAAAGGATTGCTCAAGGAATAGAGTTTCTAAATTATCCCAATTTAAAACTCAATTTAATAGAAAAATGGTAAGCCTAGTGAAGGCACCTATAGTTAAGGATCTGGTAAAATACTTCATTTTCAAATATTCATAATTATCTCAATGTGCACATTCAATTTGATAAATGGATATGTGTTTTATTGTTGATTATTTTGCCTCACCAATGAATTTAGTGAATTTATAGACTTTAATCCCTCCGAACAATTTAGTTTGTAATACATTTTTTGGAAAAGCATATTAAAAATAGGGTTTTATTGCATACCTTACGATAAGGTGTGTTCCTATTTAACATCCTTTCCACACATTCTCAACATGGTGTCAGCCATTGTTATATCGTATCTGATGAATTATATTGTCTGCATTTTTGTTTATATTTTCCGTCACTACATTTTAAGGGTTAATGTGTAGCATTCGAACATATTTTGGGTTAGGGTTTTTTTTATGAAATAATATTGTTCACTATTGAGTTATTGTTGACAATATCAATTGGTACCCTTGGTAGGTCAGCAATTCTACCCATTTTGTCGGCTAGTGTGTAGAATGTTACACTAGAGTCTTTATGAGTGGATTAAACATAATGTCCATTTGATGGATTATCATGTTCATCATTTCACAACTACTATCATCCATTTAGTAATCAAACACTACAAGAAAACTGCAGTTTAGCATCGGCCAAAACCCCTCGCTACAAGGCAATAAATCGACACTATATTTAATGATATATTAAAAATACTTAAAGAATGATTTAACCTATTAGCGGTCTGCTTTTAGTGAAGCAAAGTCTAACGCTAGTAACGTTGGAGTTGAGGCTAACGCTAAATATTTAAAGTTAAAATCTCGTTTTTTGTAGTGAAAGGTATGGAACTAATAAAAAAAATTCACTAATACTATCAAATATGATCTCGACTCATATGACTTGTTATGGAGGAACGAACCCTGTAAATAGTCCATAAAGAGGCCAAGTGGCATTTCACCTTTGGGTGAGGGATTCCTACATAAATCATTTGGATTATACTAACAATAGGATTCAAAATCATATGCATATTAAGAATTTCATTTTGCCGGGGCATATAAACCTCTCCCGTTCTCCTTCATTTAAACTGTTATCATTGCTTTGAATGTTAATTTGATTTGCATTTCTTCTTCTAAAAATGATTAGTCATGGTAAAAAAAAAATCAAGTTTTATAAATACAAAATTTGACACAAACTATCTCAAATTAATTAATGTTTCATTGGACATGTCAATTTGTTGACAATAAATTAAATAACTTTCAATAAATAAACATGATGAACAATCTAACACTCAAGTTAAAAAAAAATTAATGGATTGATTTATTGGTCCAAGTTATAACTATCATTCGAGTAAACTTATACTTAAAGTTATTTCAAGTATACAAAGTAAAAGGAGGATGAAAATAAAATATTGTAATAAGATAAAGTTATACACATTATTTATATCATTAAATTATTGAGATCTTTATCCTTTATGTGTTTGTGTGCAGATGTATAATCTCTTTAAATGCGTTTTTGGAATGAAAAATGAAATCCTTTAAGATGGAGATATTTGTTCCTCATCGTGAAAAATTGGAGTCTAACCTGCTTATCGTGCTTATTGCATGAGCTCTAGTTGACATTTAATCACTCTTAACCAACTTTTAAAAAAGTTATGCAAATTTTATTTGAACCATTCAATATAATTTCTTTTTAAATTTCCAACTACTTTCAACTGTTTTAGAACAAGAACAACAACATCTTTAAATTCTCATGAAAAAATACTGTAAGCAATATTCATTTATTCAAATAAAAACATTATTTTCTTTCACTTAAAATAAACTTTTTTTACTTGTAATAGAAGACCAAGCGACCAAACCAAACCATATGTTTTGTCTTTGTATTTTCTTCGTACTCCCAAACATAGCACCAACCTTGTCTTAAACAAATTCCCTACTCCGTCTCTTTTGGATCATTGATAATTTCCAACTTTCCAAATTAAGAACATAACATTCCAATTCCTTTCCTCCACAAACATCACTCGAAAAAATTCAATTTCACTCTCACACCACTTACCATTTCCACTTTCTTCATAATCAACATGGCACCTCCTATCAAGTCACGTAATAGAAGATCATCATCGACATCATCGTCGTACACATCAACCTTAACAACATTAGCTTTTATTGTACTATGTGTCTTAGGTGTGTGGATGCTAACTTCAAACTCGGTTGTTTCGCCTAAGACGCGTTCCGCTGTTGATACCTCGGCTTCCACCACCAATGATTTTTCATCCAATGATGAACAAAATGATCGAGCCACCACAACCAATAACAACAATGATGACGGCAATAATAACAAAAATAATTTAGATGATTCGACATCTGAAAGCACAACAAATGCGAAGAATAGTATTGATGATTCGATATCGGAAACTACAAACAATGATTTGGCATCGGAAACTACAAACAGTGTATTTGGAGACAATCCAGGTAAACTACCGGATGATGCTATCAAAAGTGATGATGCAAATAATGTTGTTAGTACAAACAACAATGAACAACCGAAACAAGAAGACAAGAGTCTGTTCGCACGGAATCAGGAGCCGAGAAATTCAAACAATGATCAGAAAAACATTGTGTTGGAGAAAGATGAAGTGAGTGCAAAGGGTAATATAGAAGATGAAAACCAAAATGCAAAGGTTGATCAGCAACAAGAAAATCAAGATGACGCGAACATACAACAGCTAAGAGAAGACAAAGGCGAACTCGAGGTCATGGGAAAAGAGGAAAAGAAAATGCCTGTCGACGAACCAAAAGAACAAGAAAATGAGAGTCATGAGGAAGCAGTGTCAGTAAAGAGACCGAAACAAGAGAGGAAGAGAAGGAAGTCAAGGAAGGAATTGAAGAAACAATGGTCGACACAAGCAGACGAGTCACAGGGTGAAAAGGAGAGACAAAACGTCAATGAATCGGGTGGAGGTAGCAGTAGTAGTAATGAATCGGGTGGAAGTAGCAGTAGTAGTAGTAGTAATGTTGTGGTTGATCAAGAAGGAAAAGATTTCAAGTGGAGTATATGCAATGTAACAGCTGGTGCTGATTATATTCCATGTTTGGATAATGAAAAGTATCTGAAGACTTCACATAGAAAACACTTTGAACATAGAGAGAGACATTGCCCTGAGGATGCACCAACTTGTCTGGTCTCACTTCCTCCAGGATACAAAATACATGTTCCATGGCCTGGTAGTAGAGATAAGGTTCTCTTATATATACCCTTCAAATTTAAGATACTACTTTGTTTAAAACTTAGTAATAAATGTCCATAGCACTTAAATTTGTTTTTTGTGATTTAGATATGGTACCACAATGTACCACACGTTAAGCTAGCTGAAGTAAAGGGACACCAAAACTGGGTCAAGTTGATGGGTGAGTTCTTGACATTCCCTGGAGGTGGCACTCAGTTCATTCATGGTGCTCTCCACTATATTGATTTTCTTCAAAAGGTAATGATGAATGTTCTTAACTATGTAATATATATAGATGATATTATAAGTTTGTTTGAAATAATTGGTTAACTGTTATTGTTCAGGCGCAACCAGACATTGCATGGGGAAAGCATACAAGGGTGATATTGGACGTTGGGTGTGGAGTTGGTAGTTTTGGAGGTTACCTATTTGAAAGAGATGTTATTGCTATGTCTTTTGCACCTAAAGATGAACATGAGGCACAAGTTCAGTTTGGACTTGAGAGAGGAATACCAGCCATATCTGCCGTCATGGGCACTCAAAGGTTGCAATTCCCAAGTCGTGTATTCGATCTTATACATTGTGCGCGATGTCGAGTACCTTGGCACGAAGAAGGTTGTTTCCACTACAACATTTTTTCTTTCTTTGAACTTATCGATAATCGTTAATTGCATCGACATTTTTTTTCCTCGGTAACAGGTGGTATGTTGCTTTTGGAATTGAACCGAGTTCTTAGACCGGGTGGTTATTTTGTATGGTCTGCCACACCTGTGTACCAAACTCTTGAGGAAGATGTGGAGATATGGAAGGGTATGATAAATACATAACATATCTTATCTTTGTTATGCAGTAATGAAATGGAATTTTAATAGTTGTTGACATGTTATTTTCATTCAGCAATGAAAGCGTTAACTAAGTCCATGTGTTGGGACCTTGTGACCATAAAAAATGATACTTTGAACCAAGTTGGTGCTGCCTTCTTCCGCAAAACTTCTTCCAATGAATGTTATGAGCAGAGAGAGAAAAGCGAACCTCCAATGTGTAAAGATGATGATGATCCAAATGCTGCCTGGTAAACATTAAAAATTATTACATATATGAAAAGTTCATTGTTCGAATTCACTTGCGATGAAGTGATTAAACATGCATGTCCGTATAGGTATGTACCTCTACAAGCATGCATGCATAAGTTGCCTGTTGAGCAGACAGAGAGAGGGGCTAAATGGCCAGAAGTTTGGCCGCAGAGGCTGCAAAAAGCCCCATATTGGCTAAACGATGCAGAGGGTGAAAAATTATCCACTCAAAATTTTGCAGCAGATAGTGTACAATGGAAAAACATTGTAGATGAGCTTAAAATTATGGGTGTTGATTGGTCTAACGTGAGAAATGTCATGGACATGAGAGCTACATATGGAGGGTAAGCATCCATTTTAAACTTCTTTTAGGTTTAATACTAATAAAAGGTAACAACTATCATTGACCATGAAGGGCTATTATCAAAGTGATGTTATGTGTGTAGATTTGCAGCAGCTTTGAAGGATCTTCCACTATGGGTATTTAATGTGGTGAATGTTGATTATGGAGATACACTTCCAATCATTTATGAGCGAGGTCTTATTGGAATGTACCATGATTGGTGTGAATCCTTCAGCACATACCCAAGAACTTATGATCTATTGCATGCCAATCAACTTTTCTCAAATCTAAAGACTAGGTATTTATTTTTCTACTATTTTTTGAAGGGTTGAGAAATTTCACCATATTAATTTGGTTTGTTATATTATTTTGACTTCTCAGATGCAAACTGATTCCTGTTATAGCAGAGGTGGATAGAGTACTTAGACCAGGTGGTCATTTGGTTGTCCGTGATGAACTTAGTGTTGTTGATGAAGTGGAGAATTTGGTAAAATCTCTAAACTGGGAAATAACCTCCAAAACTTCAAAAAACCAAGAGGGCTCGCTCTGTGCAAAGAAAAGCTTTTGGAGACCCGATTCTTAATGTTCATGTTCAATCAGATTAATATTTTCAAACAAGCAAAGCACTTGCTATGATATGCGATTCATTCTGTCTTAGACCTTTAATGGCTACAATAGTTTTTCAGAAAACTCCACTCTTCTGTTGATGTACTTATTAAAATTGCCAAAAAGTAGATGGTGTAATACATGGTCAAGAAGTTGTAGAATCTGTAATATGTCATTTTTAAATGTCCGATGTTGTAATACATTAGATTGAATAATCGAAACATTGGCAAAATGATATAGCCCTGCAAGTGATTTGCTACAGTTTGATATTAAATCTGCTTGAAAACTACGTGCGAGATTGTGAAAAACAATAGTAATAGTTATAGAAATATTTCTTACCTAAAAATATTTGTAAGAGTTCACGAACCCCATGAACTACAGAAGTTTTAAGAGCATATCCAATAAGTTTCAAGTGATTTGCTACAGTTTGATATTGAATCTGCTTGAAATAACACATATAATTTTCACCCTAATGCAACTCTATAAACCCAAATTAGATCCTGCAACTTTATCTCATATACTAGTAGTAGACCCGTGCTTCAGCACGGATAAATTCATTCTTAAATTTCATAATAACTTCATAATAGTGGATATATTCAATGTCATAAAAATACAATAACTTTTAATATATGAAGCATAGTATGTCCAACAAAAGAAATTTAGTAACAAAGTGCAAATAACATTTTAGATTGAAATGATGTAGTAAGACTTGTATGAAGCAAGAGTGAGGATTACAAAACCTACAAATAAAAAATAAAATCAATAATTAATGAAATATTAGAACTATCTAAGAAAATATGAGATGTCGAAAGAATGAATTATATAAGCATGAAGTAAAATATAAATTTGAGTATCAAGTTATTTTACTTGAAGGTAAATATAGAGATGAAGATTTTAGTATTGATAGTAAGAAAAAATAATGTTATTCAAAAACTAAATATGTACCTATATGACATTGTGGAAAACTTCTTTGAAGACAACATTTGTTGTTTGAGTTAAGTAGTTGTTGTCTTTGTCGTGTATTAAAACTTTCAATCCAGCTTTGCTTTTAACCCTTGAAATGGCAACATAAAGTTGTCCATGACTGAAAACATTCTTTGGCAAATATAAACCAACATAGTCCAACGATTGTCCTTGAGATTTGTTGATTGTCATAGCAAATGACACTATAATTGGGAATTGTCTTCTGATAAGTTTAAATGGCCATGGAGATTGGGAATGAGACAAAGACATTCTCGAGATATAAATAATGTTTCCAATATTTGTACCTGAAATGATCTTTGCTTCAATGACATGATTGCCTAACTTCATAACTGTTAACCTTGTACCATTACAAAGGCCTTCAGATTTATCCAAATTTCTTATCAACATGATGATTGTACCAGCCTTTAATTTCAATGAGTGGTTAGGAAAACCGGAAGTTTTTAGATAACTCAAAAATTCTGGTGTCAAATGCTCGAAAGCATAATTGTCATTAGCTTCTGATCTATCAATGGAATCACAACTCAAATATTCTTTAGAATAACAGGTATGTATAAAAAATAGTATGAAAAAATAATATAGTAGTATTTACATATCAAAATAATATATACATATGTACATCCAAAGACACATTGTATGAAAAAATTAGAAAATATAGTTATAATAGAAAATGAAGTATACCTGGAAGAAGATTAGTTATGAAGTCATTTATGTCATCAACTATTTCAATAGTTGATGCTAGAATAGCTCTACACTGAAAAAAATTTGGATCCGTGTAATTTTGAAGCAGATTTGGATAGGTACTTGAAACAATTGCTTCAATTGGGTCCACAAAATCTCTTATAAGTAACTCTTCAGGAATATCACTTTCAGCATATCCATCATTGGGTTCTGAGACCTTTCCATTACCAACTTGTAAAATCCAATCTGAGAAGAGTCTAATTTCTTCTGAATTGCCTAAATTAGAACCACTTTGCAAACGCATATTTTTGGTTAGATTCATAACTTTTCCATGATCCCAGATGTAAGAGGCATTTATTGTTGCATGTACTATATCTGATCTAGTACCTCTTGGAACAACTGGTAGAATTTGTCTGAAATCTCCACCAAAAATTACAACTTTTCCTCCAAAAATCTGCTAACACTCAACATCGTCATCACTCATAATATCCTTCAATGACTTATCAAGAGCTTCAAAACAATATTTATTTGCCATTAGTGCATCATCCCATATTATTAGTTTTGTTACCTTCAAGAGATTGGCAAGATCAGAATTTTTCTCTATGTTACATATAGAAGATTCCAAACATGGAACTGGAATATTGAATTTGGAATGTGCAGTTCTTCTCCTGGTAACAACAAACTTGTTATTCCACTAGATGCTACATTCAACACAATATCTCCTTTACAACGCAGAGCAGCAGACAATATGTTCCACGTGAAAGTCTTTCCTCTACCACCATAACCATATAGGGAAAAAAAACACCACCATTTTGATTCGTGACAACATCCATAACTTCTTTAAAGATTTTAAGCTGCTCATCTACAATAAAAAAATAAAACACCAATAGCGTTGCATCATGAAAACAATTTAAATAAGCAAATCTGTGAAATTTTCAAATCTTGAGAACATAATGACAACAATGACCATATCAATGTGATTAGCATTTATACTTATGTAGTTTTGTGCTAATAATTATAGACTTCCTTATAAGGCTAATTCGATGCAATAAAAGAAAAACATAATATTATGAACAAACATGGCGTATGCACTAAATTTCGGACATTGTTTCAATAAATAATTAGAAGGTCAAATTATAAAAACAATACATGTTAATGATTGAAACATAGTATGGAAAATTTCTTCTTGAGCCGAGGGATCATATTGTCTTTCATCATATATCAATCTATTTCCAAGGAAGTCAAGGATGTAATTATTTGGATATGGCATAGGCTTAAATTCTTTCAAACTCCATCTATTTTTCTGTAGTTGCTTCTCAATTTCCATCAAACTGAGTTGTTGCATATCTTCATCAGTAAAATTCAATTCTACAAATAAAGGTAGAAGTTAAGTAAGTATTGATACTTTGTTAAAATAAACATGTATAGAATCCATAGTGTTGTGAGTAACATAGTTCTAAACAATAAGATGAAGAGGATAAAAGAAAAGATGTTGCTACAAAGAAGCAGCAAATATATAATAATGAAACCTGGATTTTGTGACAATATTCTTTGTTCATATAGAATACCATCTGAAAGGTACATCTAAGTATTTAACAAAATATGTTCTGGTCGATTCATTGAAGATGATAATAACATTGTAACAAACAATTGGCGCAAAAATACTCCAGAACCCCATTTATAAGCCTCTTTAATTGCGTCAATGAACTTTTTGTCATCTTGTAGGAAGCCCAATGCAAAACATGCCTCTCTAAAACTTTTGTGTTTGAACCCGTCAATTGTATTTAAAATCATTATAACTTGTTGAACATTTCTTCGTAGTCAACAACATCCTCATATAATACAATTCTCCAGTTGTTGGCGGGACCCAAATTAGTCGGCCAATTGTGTAACCTCTTTTACACGGTTTCCAACACAGTTTCTTCTTGTCATAAACAAACTTGGACACAAGTTGACCATATGTTAATAACTTTTCTTCTTCATACTGAGTATTTTCCACAAACCAATAAGTAAAAATTGATTTTGTGACACTTGGTTTAAGAAGGTGAGTTCCAATTTGTTCAAAATCTTTGTAGTATACAGAATTATCTCCTTCCATATGAAAAAATAACCTTTCAACAGTTGGTTTCCTGCCATGAATTGAATAAGAGAAGATTCTCCATCATTCTTCGCTTGGTGAGACATATCGACAATCAAGGTATTTTTGATTTCATCAATATTTCCATCGGTTCCAGTGTTGTTTGGAACAATAACAGCCGAGATCCTATCAGAACCCTTGTTGATGTACTTGAAGAGATATTTAATCGAAGTACTTTGATTGCACCACTCCATATTAATGTGTGCCTCATATTTCATAAGTAAACTTGGGTTGTGGGGTACAATGTGACCACTATGTAGGGTGACTCCATTCTTTTCAATTGTATTACCCTGATCTCTCCTTCTATAAACATGATATCCATCTTGATCAACAATTGTGACATCTTGGAACTTTTTAGGATAATACTTGGAACACTTACCATCTTTCATACAAGGACATCTAGGATTTGCTAACCCACAGGGACCATGCACCATGTGAGTTTTGACCAGATTATACAGTTTTGGTTGACTCAAAGGATCAGGAACTTCAGCAGAAATGATTTTGTCTATGTCTTCAGGAGTTGGATATTTATTTGATGGATGCAAGAAGATAAGAATGTGCGCATGCGGAAGACCTCTCTTTTGGAACTCAATTGTGTACATATCTAAAAATAAGAACAATTGTAAGATAAATATGTTGTAACATGTCATGTCTAGCTTGAAATGCCTAGATAATTTTAAAGGATAGTAAGTTAAAGCAATTGATATGACATAGTAAACTTACATGCAAGAAATTTGCCTAAGACTCCATTTTTTGTCACATCTGCTAGAAGGTTATCAAACTTCATCTTAAAAACTCTTGCAATGATATCAGGTCTATCTTGTGGCTTCAAGTTTAGAAGACCAAGCAATCTTTAAATTTCTGGCCAATTTGGGTTGCATGTGAAAGTAATGAAAAGATCCGGAAATCCCACCTTACTACAAATAGCCATGCCATCGTAATACAATTGATCCATAAATCTCCGACTTCCAACATAAGATGATGGTAAAACGAATTTTTCCCTATGCCTGATCCTTGTGTTTGATCTTGCTCTGAATGTAGACTTGTATACTTTGACACTCTTAGCTTGGATTGATTTTTTCTGATCCAATTAAATCTCTCTCCTTCAAGCATTGTGTAACCATTCGCCAAAAAATGTTGGAACAATCTCCTAGATGATAACAAATTTTTTGCCTCAT